GGGCCTAGACGATCTCTAACATTTCCCCTCCTTTTTGGGGAACGTTCTCTATCTCTCTTGGGAGATCTGTCTCTTCTTGGAGACCTGTTTATTTCTCTTTCTTTCCTGGGACTCCGTTCTCTTTTCTTTTTCTCCTTTTTCTTGCCTTTTTTAGAAGACGGGCTCATTATCTTTGAAAGGAGGGCTTCCTCACTATTGATATACTTCTTTGCCTTGGCCAACACCTCAGCCATGCTTGCTTGAGAATTCTTGGATATAGAGAACATCAAATCCTTTGAAAGTATCCCTAATCCTGCTATGAAAGCAGTAATTGTGAATTTTTCGTTCGGGACATCTACCTTTAGGTATTCTGACTTAAATCTTTGGACGTAGGACCTTATGTTTTCTTGAGGTCCTGCTTCATATTTAGCAAATGGTAGCTCAGCTTTTTGTATGTCTGAGCTCCAATAAAGTGGGACACAAAGGATATTGAGAGCTCTTTGAACAAGGAGATCAAGGCCAGGGGAAGCCAGTTAAACCATGCTAAAGCTGACCATTTCAAGGTTATAGCAAAGGCGCGACAGTGAACAGGGTCTTGATATCCATGCAACTCCATCTGATTTTTATAGGTGTTCAGATGATCCATGGGGTCTCTAGTTCCATCAAAAGCTTCCACCTGCGGAATTCTAAATTTTGGTGGGAGGGGGAAATACAATACCCCAGAGTAAATGGGGACTCAGTTTGCTGCACCAAGGCGTCTATGGTTACTAGGGTCTTTCCCCTCACGGCCTCCTTCATATGGCTGAGCTCCTGTTGAATATCTTTGAAGCGCTGCTCCAAATATTGGTCTTTCCGCTCCTACTAGACTGGACGGAGGTTATTCCTTTCAATCTCATTACTTTGGCTCTGCACCTCTTCATTGTCCCAGTTCCTCGTAGGAGGTTGGGGAACCTGGCTATTTTTTCCTCCTTCGTCGGCCTCCCAGAATGGATCAAGGGGTTATGGTTCCCTATGAGGGGGATCATTCTAGCCTCCTTGGGCTGGCTGTTTCTCCTGTGGTTGTTGTAAAAGCTTCAGAAGTTCCTCATTTTGCTTTATCAGGCGCTAATTTACCAAGCAAAAGGCCTCCAACTCGTTGTTTGTGGGAGAATCTGCCATAGGAGGATTGACATCTGTGGTTAGGAAGAAATCTTGTGGATCCTTGTGATATCTACTCGTGTTCTCCTACTAGTTTTGCATTCATGGGGGATTTATTTGGCTTCTGCTCATGTTGTGGGCTGAGACAATCAGTTACTGAAAGATTAGCGTACTTCTAACGAGAACTATCGTTCCTACAGACAACACCAAACTGATGGTGTAATTAACGTGGACGAGCAAAAGGTCGATATTATACTTGGCAACTTGGGTCTAAGCTCCTAGGCTCGTGAAGATCATAACAAAGAATTTCAGGGATTGAGGGCAATTACACAGTGAAAATACAATGGTTCACCAACTCGAGATCTCAGCTAATCCATTCTTCAATAGAGATTCTTTCTCCTTTTGTTTCAATAAATGGGGATGAAATTTACAGTCTGCCTCTTAGGCCATCAAGGATTCTCCTTCGTTATTGGAGGTGTTATACAGTATTTATAGAGTTGTTCCCTGTTCTGTGGGATCTCTGTTGAGATCTTAGCCTTTCATCTGTGGATTCCTCCTTGATTTTTTGAGAAAATCTTGGTTGATTGAGGATTTTGTGCCTTGAATATGACTCTTTTCGACCTATAGGGTTTCTATTAACACCCAGTTGTTCCCTTATCATTTTCGCTACTGTCTCGTCTGGGGTGAGTTCTAGCTCTGGTCCTCTGAGCTCTGCGTGTCTTGTCTGACCCCCTTGTCCGACCTCCACGCCTGAGCTTGCCCTTTGGAAGTTACTTTATGTATCATCACTAATGATGAGGAGTCACATGTCCTTGCTTCATGAATTGCGAACAGGTTTTTTAGACATTAGGGTGGTGGAACATTTGCTAGTGGGTACTGTGTCCTTACCTCCTGTAATCGTAGTGCAAAAGGGTGGCAAGGCAATTGAGGACAAATGAGATAGGATGACTAAGAACCCAGATTGGGTCTCGGATCAAATCATATTTCCTTCAGGCCCGATAGATACAAGATCTTTGGATTATTTTGTATATGAGCCTCCAAAAAACCCTAGTCATGATTTTAGACTTTACCAGGACCGGTCCAACTAGTAACTCTATGGATCTAACCTTAGTGGTTGATGGGAATAAGGTTTCTAATACTCGGTCTTCTTCCTAGGCCGTTAGGCTTTCACAGGCCTACGAAATTTTATCTCATGACTTCAATTAGTTGAGCCTCAAAAAGAAATCCCTAGATGATGAATTTGTCATTCCAGATCAAAGCCCTCCTACTTCAAAGAGGTGTAGACTTCCTCCCTCATTGATGCTAAGCAAAAACACTCCATCTAACCAAATTACACCTTAACTCTCAAGGTAATCCTCCTACTCATACTGTTTCCATTAGGAATCATAAACAAACCCAACCTTCTCCTAGAGGGCATGAGAGGGGTAAAAGGACTAAGGTGAGGTCGATTGAAATTTTGCACCTCTACCTAGAATACCTTGTAAAGGTTCTAATAGGTGAAGCTGGGAATGATCAGAATCCAAGTAACGATACTGGGGAATAACTGGGTGAAAATGAGTTGTAGGTGTGTGTCTCTCAGTGGATCTCTGAGGTTTCAAGTACTTTTCTATAAGACTTCCTGGTTTCTTCTACTCAAGATGCGGTGATGAAGACTGGACCTCAACAACCACATGTTGATCATCTCCTGGAACTGTCAGGGAGTTGGACGACTCCAAATAGTTCATACGCTTCGAGGGATTATCCAATCCCATTGTCTTATTTTGGTTTTCCTCATGGAAGCAAAGAATAAAAGACAGGTTTTGGAGTGGTTAAGACGTTCAATGAATTTTGCTTACAGAGAGTATGTTGACCCATCTGGTTTATTAGTCGGTCTAGCTTAGTGCTGGAAGAATAATGTGGAAGTGGATATCAATTTAAGAGGCAAAATGTTATTAATGCTAGTTGTGTGACAAGGAGGCAGAGAGGTTGGAAAATGGTTAGAGACTTATCCCATAACCCACAGATGCCTTGGATATTTGTGGGTGATTTTAACATGGCTTATTTGAAAGTCAGTACACCTAATTAAACTTATTTGACAAAAAGTACATAGAACAAAATATTTTGAAAAAAAGTACACAGCTGAGATACAAAGACGTAAATGCTCATTTTAGGGTCATTTAANAAGAAGAGGGAAATACGAGACAGAGATAGACCTCGGTTCCTAAAATAACAAAATCAAAAAGTCCAAAAATACAGAAATCACTTTAGACTTGAGGGGTCCAGAACGAGGAGATGAATAAAGGACAAGAAGCGTACCTAAGTGAGGATGAACAGTGGGCCAACATGCGAAATGAAGGTGAGAAGCAAACTTCGTTAAAGCCACGAGCTGAATCAGGGGAGACCGATTTTCAGCAAAACCCTAGAAGCACCATTCGAATCGAAAGTCTGAAATTACAGGAAGAAGAGAGGGAAAAATTTAGAGAAAGAGTTTAAAGGGTGAAATGAGTCGTTTCCCCTCAATTCAGAGGCATTTAAAGCTAACGGTACGAAGTGGGGAACGTGCACAAGAAACAAGGAAGTAAATGATTACCTAAAATCGTCAAAAACCTGTTCGCACGCAAATCGAGGTCCGCGTGTGTAGGTCTACCTTAATTAAACCTTAATTCAGCCCCTACCCAAGTTCACTCGGGCTAAGGGCTGGGGGGCAACTGATGATACCTAGAAGGAATTTCAGCTAAGTATGAATGCAGGAGCCGAAGTCAGGTCAGGAGGTCTGACCAGATGCGCAGGGCTCAAGGGAACCGATTGGAACTCCCTCCCACCCCCAGACAAGTCAATAGCAGAGAGGAAANACGTGTGTAGGTCTGCCTTAATTAAACCTTAACTCAGCCCCTACCCAAGTTCACTCGGGCTAAGGGCTGGGGGGCAACTGATGATACCTAGAAGGAATTTCAGCTAAGTATGAATGCAGGAGCCGAAGTCAGGTCAGGAGGTCTGACCAGATGCGCAGGGCTCAAGGGAACCGATTGGAACTCCCTCCCACCCCCAGACAAGTCAATAGCAGAGAGGAAAAGAAAACAGTTGGATGACAGCGGGGCTAGAGTCCAGGCGTAGAATTCTCAACCAGCCGAGATCCTCTCCCCAAAAATCAAGGAAGATTCTATTAAGATCATCACGCCTAAGAATTCTTAGGAATTGAAATTGCACTATAAATATTGTACAATGTCTCCAAGATGGGGCAAGAAACCCGAGTAGTAATAGAAGCATAACGTAAGCTCCGTCTCCCATTATCAATACAAAATGAGCAAGAGTCTCCATTGAAGAGTGGACTAGCTGAGCTCCCAAGCTACGGAATCACTATATTTTCATTGTGTAAATCATCCCAATCCCCCAGCAAAACTTCTTACGATCATCGCGAGCCTTGTGGCTTAGGTCCAAGCTGCCGAGCATANCGTAAGCTCCGTCTCCCATTATCAATACAAAATGAGCAAGAGTCTCCATTGAACAGTGGACTAGCTGAGCTCCCAAGCTACGGAATCACTATATTTTCATTGTGTAAATCATCCCAATCCCCCAGCAAAACTTCTTACGATCATCGCGAGCCTTGTGGCTTAGGTCCAAGCTGCCGAGCATAATTTATACCATCTGCTCTTCTAAGTTAATTTACATCATCAGAAGGCTAGAAGACCCAGCGAAACATATGTGAATGAAAAGCCTAATCAATTTGTTTTACAAACCAATTTATCATTAATACCAGCAGAACACAAAATATTTCCCACCTACTATAGATCATCATTAGCACCAATACACTCTTATTTCAACCAAATGAGCAAAACCCCAATCGCAATAGAAAACACAAAAGCTCAATAGACGGATTATCCACATAAAATCCACAAAATTCAGAACGCACAGATCAGAAGTCCCAAACTCCAGATAAATAACCCCGGCTTTCAATATAAGAATAATAAATCTGAAACTTAACACAACCTCCATTTATTTATGCAAGTAGGCAATCCCTTACACCATTAGCCAAAAACAAGCAACACCAATCATTCATTATTGGACACAAGATGCCATAACAAACCCAGATCCAAAACAAACCCAAAAAGGGCATTATAACAACATTTCAACCATACATACTCAATATACATCATTGATTTATTCAGGAGACAACATTTCCGACAACAGGGTACTTAGCTTCAAACTTCTTCTCCCAGTCGTTAAGCACGCCGATCTCTTTCTCCGATAGTCCCTCGAGACTGGCACAAACATCTTCTTCGTTCTTGCTCATCTTGGCCAAAGCTCTGCTGGCATCTTTGCCAGCGAACATTGAGTAGTCCTTACCGGGCCCGTAGAAGGACATGCCTTCAGTAACGTCAAAGATGCGTCCTTTGACGGCCACGTATAGGGGCTTTGATGGGTCCGTGCCGTCGTATTGTTTGAGCTGTTGCAGTGTGAGCTCCATTGATTCCAAGTCCTGAAGCTTTCGGTGGGTGTGGTAGGTGTGCCTGAGAGAGAGAGAGAGAGAGAGGAGGGCGGGGGGATATTGTTAAGGACTTCAATACGTACCCAAAAAAAAAAAATTTGGTATCTACTATTTTAACCGATATTTTTATAATTTATGTAAGTTATTTTGTTATAAAAAATTATTATTTTTAATATGAATATTTTTATTATTATTATAGTAACACCACTTTTTTCGGTACAAAAAAAATTATCATTTTACTGAGTGATTTATCACTTTTATGAATTTTTTTTACTATTTTTGTAAATATTTTTATGACTAATATAATAATTATTTTTACCATTTTTTTCATTATTATAATAATCATAAAAATACTCATAACAATGATGAAATACCCAAAAACTTATAAATGTCAATAAGATACCAAATTTTTTTTTTTCATTACTGTAGGCAATAGTCCTTGTCGTTAATAGGGAACCACTGTTATTGGTTATTCTACGGAAAAATTACACTTCATACTTATAAAAAAAATTAGTTTGTAATTTAAAGTTTTGTTTTTTTAACGGGTGCCTTCAAAAATCAAAATTATCATTTTGTACTGTCAATATTATAAAACTATAACAATGTGACCCAAATTCAAAATGCCATTTAATTTTTCGATTGAAAAGGGAAGCGAGCAACTTGATAATGGTGATGGCATTGGAATACCTATAAAATCATTGTGATTTTCAATACAAATAATACATAAAGTTGATTATATATGATCATATTAGTCGAGTGTATGGTATAAAGTAATTAATTAAATAATTAATAATAAGATACAATAATTAAGTTGTTGAATTTAGGTGACCTAACCACGAAAGACAGTAATAGTGGTCAAAAAACCCTATTAATGAGAGTAGCAAGAGAGTGAGAAATAGGAAAAATATGCTCAAGGTATAGTGTGTATTCCATGTGTAAGGGGTTTATAATTTATAGGCACAGAGCCTAACTATTGTGATGACGTGAAGATCAAGTTACTAATCTTTCAAGGAAGATAGCAACAATTAGGGATAGGCACTATCATGGAATAATGGCTACTCGGATGATTTCTCTCATACATGCGTTGACTCTTCCTAGACTCTTGAATTTTGGACTGGATTGAGACCATGACTTAAGTCTGGCCTGCCTTTTGATAATTTGGACTTAACCTATGGATTGGGACTAGGCCTGGTCTGGATATGGGCTCGTCATTTACCCCACATGCCCCAAGCCCTAGTAGTGATAGGGGTTTAAGGGTATAAGTGAGCTCTTTCATTTGAATAGACCAAGGTATCTTGTTCCATACGGTGAATTCTTCAACTTTTCACTCCATTACATTTTTCGAAACTGATTTCCTCATTCACCATTGCGCTAACCAAAATCCTCCTATGTTGGGTCTTTCATTAGATTTGAAGAAACTCCATCCCTTTATAGTAGAACCCCTTTTTTTTCTTTTAGGGCATCAAGCTTAAGGTTTAAAGGGTAATAGACCCACAATGAGCCACCCACATTTCATTTCCTTCACTCAAAATTCCTCCTTTCAGACTAGAGCTTTAAAGTGCCCTTAATCTTCCTCATCCCATAAGCGACAGAGAGAGGTTGAACAAAGAGAAGAAATGTTGTCCAAATTAGATATTGACAATTTACGTGTAAGTATACACGATCAACAAGTAATAAAGTGATAAGTAGAGTATTGTTCCCACGAAGAATTATTACTACTAATTTCTAAGTACTAACTTTAAATCAATTCAATTTTATTTAAACAATTGAAATTGAACTATGAAATTACTAATTTAAAACTAAATCTAAACTTAATAATCAAGTGTTGAATTTACCAGATAAAAGAATTGAAGATTACAACTTCCCGTAATGCTTCATATAAATCTTTCCACTCTCTTTCCAGTTAATTGATCAAAATAAGTTNGAAGATTACAACTTCTCGTAATGCTTCATATAAATCTTTCCACTCTCTTTCCAGTTAATTGATCAAAATAAGTNGATAAAAGAATTGAAGATTACAACTTCCCGTAATGCTTCATATAAATCTTTCCACTCTCTTTCCAGTTAATTGATCAAAATAAGTTATTAATTGAGAACTCAAAATTATTTATCAAACCTTCTTCTAATAGTTAGATAAAATTATCTCTCTCAATTAGATTACTATATNTTTTAAAAAACCTTCTTCTGATAGTTAGATAAAATTATCTCTCTCAATTAGATTACTATATTCCTATGCAAAATAAGNATTATTTATCAAACCTTCTTCTAATAGTTAGATAAAATTATCTCTCTCAATTAGATTACTATATTCCTATGCAAAATAAGTTGGAATAGATTCATTAAGTTCAAACTCTCATAAAAGTTACACACAACATATATGTATATTTCTATCCTATACACAAACCCAGTTATTCAATTCTAAGAAGAATAAATCAGACACATGTCATCATATTTAGATTTAAACCTAGAATTAATCTCTCAAATTCATCTAGGTTATCACATTAGTTGTTGGCCAAATAATCATATACTAAGCACAAAATATGATAAACAACTCATATATAATCAATAGAACTAGAATCGAGAGTAGATCAATTTAACTAAACATTAGGTTCCGTTGTAATCTTAATAAGAATTTAGTTCATAATGTAATTGAAAAACATCATTCTCAAATTAAACAACATTTCAGAAAATTAAAAACGTAAAAGTAAGAGAAAAGAATAAAAACTTAGTTGCAATCTTCAATTCCTCTCTAGCCTTCAACTCCAATCTTCTTCGTGTTACTTCTTTCGATTCTTGTCTTCAATTTTTCTTTCAATCCTTGGTCTTCTCTCTTGTTAGCAGCCCCCAAAGTCAGTCTATCTTTTCCCAACTCAAACCCTAGCATATATGTAGCATTAGGGTTCTATTTCGGGTCCAAAAAAAGTCAAAATTCGCATCCAAAGCCAACACAAGCGCAACAGCTTTGAAAATCAGCGCAAGGGCACTGAGTTACTGTTTTTCCAGCGCAGGGGCGCTAGTCCCCTTTCAAGCCTAAAATTGCCCATGTTGCTTAGTCTTAAAAAATTCAACACTTAGGCTACAAATTGACCATGTTTCCTTTCAAATGATGTTGTTTGCTTCCAAATAATGATTTCTACCAAATAACATCAAATCACACAAAACAAATAAAAAAGGACATAAAATAATTGTAACACCCCAAAATACACCCTAGACGGCATTACATTCTAAAATCATTCATATCATGAGAGCACTAATACAATCCCTTAAGAAACAAGACTGCATTTGCTATCCACGAATATTTATCACATTATCCAAAAGAATAAGCTCAAGTCATGACTATTACATCTCAAAAATTAATTAAAGAAACGCAGCGGAATAAACAAAAGAAGCTAGATTACACAATGTTCCAAAAAAATATCCTAGTCTAGTACAAAAGGAAGGAGGACGCTCTATGCGTCCACCTCGGGATTCACACTCCCGTCCAGTGGAGTCTCCCAAATAGCGAGCTCCTCGACCCTTACGTCCTCCTCCTCAAGCGGGTAATTTGAAAAATGTTNGGAGGACGCTCTATGCGTCCACCTCGGGATTCACACTCCCGTCCAGTGGAGTCTCCCAAATAGCGAGCTCCTCGACCCTTACGTCCTCCTCCTCAAGCGGGTAATTTGAAAAATGTTAGTGATAGGGGGTGAGCATGAAGCTCTGTAGAAAAATTCTCCCAAACCCATACAAGGTTTA